CTTAAAAATAACTGTTGAATCACTATCCCTCTGCCGTCCCCAGGTCATGCCCTTTGTCTCTGTGGATTTCTCTTGGGAGATGTTGAGAAGGGAGGGAATTTGACTCTAACTTTGATTGACCTTCCTGTTGGTTTAAACAACAGAAAAATATCCAATTATCCCATTGACAATTACAGCCTGCACAGTCCACCGCAGGCCCAGAAATCAGCCGGGCAGCAGAGAACCAGCCACAGACCAGGGGCACACACATGCAAGCCATTATCTACTTGGAGACAGGCTGGCCGTGCGACGGTCCCCGCTGGCTTAGGAAGCTGTAGGGCTCCTGGCCAGCAGGCCAGCGGTGATCCAGGAGGCTGCTGGCCACTAGCTGCAGTTGCACTCCCCCATCCCAGCTCATCTCATAAGGTGAGGGGTCCTGGATGAAAGAACCAAGGTGTATACTTGCTACAGATCCAGGCCTCATCAGGTCAAGAGATAAGTCAGTGAGTTCCATAGTAAGGGACCGTGCCCTATTTGGTTAACAATATAAGCAACGCACAAGGCATGTGATCTGCACCGAATACATTACTTGTATTTATAGGAAAAATTTAGTTGAAGGCTAATGAATACACAAGTAGCTGAATAAAGGGGTGAATAATTTGCTTGTGTCATGCTCCCAGGAATACTGTGGGAAAGACAGACTGGATCGAGGATGGGCCAGTGCTCAGGCTCAAGCTCTGCTCCTTCCCAGCTCCGACCTCGGCAAATCACTTCACCGCTTCCAGCCTCAGTTTCCTCATGAGGTGAATGTTGTATGTGCCGCTCCAATTCCTCTAAAAGGAAGGACTTGTTGCCTCTAGCTCATGTGTCAAACACAAGGCCTGCAGGCCAAATCCGTCCCGCCAGGCCTTGCAATGTGGCCCACACCGCGCTGTCATCACTGCACTCCGCTGCGTTTCCATCACAATGACAGTTTATGACTGTTCAGTAAACCATTCGGCCCGCGATTTAGGCTGGATTTTAGATTTTGGCCCCTTCTCTGATTGAGTTCGACACCCCTAATCTAGACACACAGCAGCCACAGTCTCCTGCTCTCCAGAAAGCTAATCGCCTGCCCTCTTCGCTGCCACTCGTAAATCCTTGACTCTCCAGGGAGGTATTTGGACCTGAGCTGCCAAGCTTTCCACTACTGAAGGATGGAGGGAGGGATGGTTTCTGTCGCCGAGACGGCTGGTGAAGTGTGGGTTGTGCACTGCCAACCACCCTGCACCCTAGAGAGACCTTCCTTCTTGAACCCCAGTATTTACTCAAACTTTTAAAGTAGCAATCACTGCCACCCTGTTATAGAAGATGAAACTGGTGCTTACATGGCTTTAGGGCCAGCCAAGGGCACACAGCTGGTAGGAAGCGAAGCTGGGAGTTGAGCCCAAGTCCAATTCCAAAGCCTATATGCTGTCTCCACTTAGGCCCACATTAAAGTTTCCAAGAGCAGGGTTTTGTACTTTGGCTTCCTTATTTTATTGCTTTTAAATATGAAAGTTTCCCAGGAGTTTCAGATACAGTCAGAGTTACAAAGCCTATCATATCCCCTCCTAACACCCATGTCAGTTCAGCATAGGATCCCAAGCCCTGGCCAGGGACACTGTTGCTCCTCACCCTCTACTCTCACCCAGGAACCTGCACCTAGAAAAGCCCTTTTGATGCTATCTACTATAATAAAAGAATAAGATGCAAATTGACCATACTTTCATGACACCCACCAGCCAATCAGGAGTGAGTATTCAAATTAACCCAACAAAGATGGCAAATTAATTTGCATACACAGTCGCAGAGCAGTGGGGGGGCAGGGCAGGATGCTTGCGTTCCACAGTGCCCCAGCTGCTCCAGGCTTCTGGGCAGCGTGGGAAGGCAGAAAGGCAGTCACCAGCAGCCAGGGGAAGGAAGGCCCATTCTTGCACATATCTTCATGCATTGGGCCTCTAGTTTACTTAGAAGGGTCTCAAAAACAAAAAGCCTGACCCCTGTTGAAACCAGTTTGGCTCAGTGGATGGAGCGTTGGTCTGCGGACTGAAGGGTTCCAGGTTTGATTCCGGTCAAGGGCATGTACATTGGTTGCAGGCACATTCCCGGAAAGGGGTGTGCAGGAGGCAGCTGGTCAATGTTTTTCTCTCATCGATGTTTCTAGTTCTCTATCCATCTCCCTTCCACTATGTAGAAAATCAATAAAATATATTTTTTTTAAAAACAAAAAGCCTGACTCATATGATTCACCCAGGCTGCTGGATAGTCCCACACAACTTCGCAGCCTTTGTTTGTTTTGTATATTGAGGTGAACATTGGCACCACAGAGTGAAATTGAGTTTCAGTGGAACACAACAGAAAGAAGCCAATTATCTAACATGAATTATTTATCTGGGTACAATAATCATGGTGTTGTTCCCCATGACAGAAGCCTCCGCAATTTGAAACAAGAGGAAAGAAGAGGTGGATGCATTGTCTGCCCCCAGATTCAATGAATTAGCCCTCCCACATCCTGTAAATACACATGAATCTTCTCTGTGAGCGTGGCCTATGCACCTGCCCCCAGAGCACACATGATTGATACGTTGGTGGGCACAGGGATTTTGTTCCCCCAGTGTTATGGGAAAGCCTGCTAATTTCAGGCTATGGCTATATTAGAGAAAATACCATCTTCTCTTTGCAGCCTACCCTGTGAGGATGAAGACATTCTAAAAAAGCATTTTCTCAGGTTGCAAGGTTTGTGGCCAGCCAGAACCCATGAAGTCATCTTAGCTCAGAGTTTTCCTGTCAAGGTATCTGCTATATAATGTCAACTAGAAGCCCTATCCTGCCTCCAAAAGTATACAGTATTCCCCTTTATCTACGGGGATACATTCCAAGGCCCCAGTGGGTGCCTGAAACGGTGAATAATAGCACCAAACCCTAGGCATACTGTTATTTTTTTTTACTCTATGCATACATAGCTATGGTAAAGTTTAATTTATAATTTAGGCACAGTAAGAGATTAACAACAATAACTACTAATAAAATAGAACAAAATCCTGTAGTAAAAGTTATGTGAATGTGGTTTCTCAAAATATCTTGTTGCCTTGACCTCACCCTTCCCTTGGTGATGTGAGATGATAAAATGCCTATGTGATGAGATGAAATGAGGTGAAGGAATGATGGAGGCATTGCCATGGCCTTAGGCTAAGAGTAACCTTCTGATGATACATAATAAGCACTACATGGCTTCTCTTTGGCAGGTGGAAATTGCCAGCATCACAACTCTTTCGCTTAAAAATAACTTTTAAGGTGACTATTAAAATAAGTTGCTGGAACACAAGCACCACAGGAGGCAATCTGATAACTGAGACAGCTTCTTAGTGACTAATAGGCAGGTAGCGTCTCCGGCCAGGACAAAGGGATGACTCATGTCCCAGGCGAGACCGAAGAAGACAGCACAAGATTTAATCGTGATACTCGGAACATCACTCAATTTAAAACTTATGAATTGTTTATTTCTGAAACTTTCCATTTAATATTTTCAGATCTCGGAAGACCACGGGTAAATGAAATCTAATTTCTAAATCATTTTTGTGTGATTTAATTTCCTTTTATCCTTATAACTTCTAGGGAGGTTGGAAGTGGGGAAAAGATATCAGTGGTTCCCAGAAGCTTGGAAGGGCGCCAGGAGCTGATCCACCTTGGCCCCCGTGCCCTACTCCGGGGAGCTATTCCTCTTCTGAGGAAGTTGACATTGATGGAGCAGCTCCCATGTCAGGCAGGTGCTTTATGCAAATTATCCTAAATGCTCATAACAACCCGATGATGTAAGCATAAATATCTCCCTTTCATAGATGAAGAAATGGAAGCCCAAGGTTACAGCTAGTAAGTAACAGAACCAAGAATCAAGTTGAGACTCTCCCAACTCCTAACCACTGTCCTAACTGCCCTGTGAGGATAGCTTCCTCACCCCCGCACAAGCTCTGATCTGACCATCCCGGACCCATGAGGCTCTGTGGAGGTGTTCCAAAGTACTACTGTCAGAGCTGCTACCGCCCATCTGGATCCATAAGTATGGCCCTCCCTCCGGGTTGGCATTGGGGCTGTAAGACTAAGAGTCTGCTTCATCTACATCAGTTCCACTTTCTTCTTCTGGCTTACAATATTAGTCTGCTGAGAGTGTCTGTCTGTGATTGCTTATTTTCTCAGTGAGGTCACTTGCTAAGAGAGATCAGAGGAGGGATTGCTGGAAGAACTCCCCAAGATCACCTACATGAGGAGCGACAGAGGGCCTCTGAGATACAGCAGGTCCTCAATACACCATTGCTCCCCTGGTATAGCTCTCTCTGTATGACAGACACTTATTTATATTAACTCATTCAATCCACACATCAACCCTATGAAGTAGTACTATTAATATTATCTCCCCATTTGACACATGAGAGAACCAAGATGCTGAGAAGGCACCTCTTGGGCCACGAGTCTCTCCTTTCCCCAACTTCATCATCTGAGTTTTACCTGTTCAGTGCATTCCTCCCTCACTCACCCCCCTGCCCCTCTACTGCCCAACTCAGGGCAACTGTCATTTTTCAAGGACCAGCTCTGAGCTCACTTCTCACCCTGAAGGTCTGGGAGAAAGAGAAAACACTTAAAGGTAGACTGACCCTTCCAAAAGGCTCAGAAAGGATCTTCACGAACCCTGAGGGCCCCCAGTGACTCCAGCCTCCTGGCCTAGGAAGGATCAGGAACCTCCTCTGGGGTCCTCTATCTTAGCAGCACACCCTACGTGATTCTTTGCTTCACTGTCTGCCTGGATCTTAGACTGTAGCTCCTTGGGAGATAGGATGTGCCTGACTCCTCCATGCCACAAGGCCCAGTTCCATGCATATTTGCTGAGTGAACCTGGCATCCCCAACACCTTGTCCTAAGCTTCCTCCCCGGGACGTTGCATGGAGAGGCACCACCTGCGATCTTGGGACCCAGATCTGGCCCTGAGAGTCTGCTGTGGGACTTACCGCTGACCCGGGAGGGTGATGGAGTCCACCTGGCGGCCTCCAGGCAGTGCCATCATGTTGATCCCAATCTGCAGCAATGCCTGCCCACAGCGGTCGGGACCCTGGAAAGAGAAGGGAAGATGGGGTCAAAAATATAGGATGCCCCGAGAGAGGAGACCCAATCATTTTCTCTCCCAGATCCTGGCCACAAGGAGTCAAGGCAGTTGTGGAGGAAAAAACTCCTAACCCTCCTCCGCTTTTTGAACCATTTAATGCTCTACTGTCCTCACTCAAGTACTACAAGACTTTGATATTGGTTCTAAGTCCCTAGCCACTATGAACTTCTGCAATCTTTTATTCCATTGCCAAATATGTGCCTGACCCATTTTGCTTTGTACCAAATATTGGACCACAGGGACCAGCAAGCATAACAGGAGGAAAACGTATACTTAAGTCTATGGTTTATCTGAAATTCACATTTAACTGGGCATCCTATATTTTTGCTAAATCTGGCAACTCTACATGCTAATTCCCTAACTGTATACCATCACAGCACTGGGTCATTCACTTTGATTATGCCTGGAAAATGTGACTCTGTAATGGGCATGGTGGTTGCTTCCCAAAATCCATTCCACTTCAGATGACGTAATTTCACCCAGACTGCCAGTAATTGGTTCAGAGTGCTTCTAGGAAAAATGTTCTCCTAACTACAAACTGGATTTCTCCCATCGAATCTGAACAAGGAAAGAATATCATTCCATTGCTGCTAGAAACCATCTTGCAATCAAGCTGGAGAACCATCTAGCTGGAGAAGAAAGGTCCTGAACCCCTGAATAATTGAACCTGAAGTTGGGCCCACCTCTAGGCTTCCTGCTTTGTAAGATAATGAAGTTGTTGTGTAAGTGAGGATTTGGGTTCTCTGCAGACAAAAGCAGGCCGACTGACAAAGGGGAACCAGTCCCAGGGGCTCCAGTCCCAGCACTAAAGACCCACTTGGCTTGCCTGTGCTTCACAGGTTGGATCAAGACAATAGCATCCTTCTTCCCCCATAGAACAAGCTGCCCACCCCTCTGTCTCCTCCTGCCTTGCCTTGTGTCTTCCCCAATCCTCCCTCTCTGCCAGCTCCTTCTCTGAGCCAATAAAGAAGCCTTCCCTGTGGGAAATAAAGATTCTATCACTGTTGCCTGGGCAAAGTAGTAAAAGAAAGGGATGGCTGTCCCCTGACATGCCCTGTTTTGAGGACAGCAGATTCCAAGACATTCAGAAAAAAAAATAATTAAATAAATAAACACAAGAATGAACTGGTGGAAAGATACAGCGGGGATGGGGCAAGCTAAGTAAGCCCAGAAAAATTAAACTCGTATTCTGTGGTTACAGTGACCCTTATGAGAAAAGAGCAGAGGAGGACTTTATTAATAGTGATGTGGCTGGACATAAAGTACCCCTTATGGTGCTTGGAATAAAGAATGCATGTGTCCATCGAAAAAGTATGGGGAGGCAGGGGCCCAGAATAAACTAAGGCTTTGGTTAATTCCAGGGATTCACTGCCACTGTGGACCCCACTATACTGTGAGCCCTTCAAGAGCAAGAACCACTTGCAAGCACTCTATGTTGGCTATTGAAAGAAGGGGTGGAATGGATTTTTAATACCTTTATGTTGAGCCCTAATAGCTATTTCACAGAACTCTATAACAATGACGTGAGATAAAGTAACAGAGATGTGAGCTAAATAAGTAGAAGCTGTTATTATTATTGTGTCCTGGGAGTCTGCTGTGTGCTCAACCTCGTGATCAGATAAAGGCGATGGGGGAAATGAGATGAAGTGTATGAAACCTCTCACACAGGGACAATGTGCGTCACTGGTGTCAGCTTTGCTATTTCTACCATTACCATCGTTATTAAGAAAATGTATTTTGGGAACCCAGTGAGTCACTCGCCTGAAAAGTATGACACAAAAGAAAAAGTTAGAAATAACAAAATTCCCCTTGTGATGTGTCTGACTAAAGAACCAGAAAGTAATACCAATTTCTCCAAAAGTTAGGATGTGTTCAGAGTGCATGAACAAGCAGGCCTTCATTTATCACCATAGTCACAGGAGAAGGAAAGGGGGGTCAGAGAAAAACCGCTGAAGAGGGAATTAAAGCTCAGAGCAGCTGAGGAGACAGAGACAATAAGGAATTTGAGGTCCTTTAAGCTGTGAACCAATCAGTCCCAGGCCGAGGTCACGGTTTGATGCCCAGATTGCTGGCTTGATCCCCTGTAGAGAACATGCAGGAGGCAACTTATCAATTATTCTCTCTCATCATTGATGTTTCTAGCTCTCTCTCTCTCTCCTCTCTCTCTACCTCTCTCTCTCTCTCTCTCTCTCTCTTTCTCTTTTCTCTCCCTCTCTTTTTTTCTGAAATCAATAAAAATATATATTTTTTAAAAATATAAAAATAAATAAGTATGAACCAGCCAGGATTCTGTAACTAGGTGAAGCACACCCTAGAATATTGAAGGAAATCTGTGGAGTTGATCGAGTCATATCTGCGGGACCCAGAGGGAGAGCTGTTGGGCATAGAAGCCTGGATGTTCTGAATTTCTAAGAGGCAGATTCCAGGAACATAGCTTGCAAGGCATAAAATTCTAGAACAGATTCCTAATCAGTGATGGAGGGCCTTTTGGACAAAAGCAATGAGCACAAGTCATGCCCCCAAAATCTACACCCTTTTCATTAGGGACACTAAGCTCTTAGCTGAGGGGAATGCACTAAATCTAAAATAGGTTTGTTTTGTCAAAGCACCCTGGTGAGATGTCTTTGCTCATCCATTTCATCCATAGACTTCCAGCAGTTATGCTGGTGGAGGCTGCCCACTAACAAAACCTGGGGAGGCCTCTTGGGCACATCTGGACTATACATAAATCACTGGCCTTCGCAGACTGCATTATTGATGCCTGTCTCCTTTCTCCAATGGGACAAGATTCCTTGATGTCTGAAACTACGTCTTGCTCAATGTGAGACTAGGCACAGGACCCTATACAATGAACTGATCAGTCGATCTGTGATTATGAGTCCGATGAACTCTCAGAGGAGCTACACTATGCATTCACTGGGAATAAGAAACAGGTTAGAGAGAAATCTATAAGGTGACAGAGGGAATATCAAAGACTTTAACCCAGCTTATGTTTATAAAGTACCTCTATGATGAAAACAATAGGTAATATTTGTTGACTAGGTACTATGTGCCCAGCCCTGTTCTAAATGGTTCATATAGTGTTAACTCATTTGATATTATCATCATCCCTTTGTTACAGGTGAGGCCTCTGAAATTCAGTGGAATTATGTCCATTGCCCAAGATCACACAGCTAGTAAGTAACAGAGGACTAGTATCCAAGTTTTATGATTGCAGATGATGATGAGAGCAATGAACAGGTGACATGTGTTCAGCATTTAATAACAGGCAGCCTGACTGCATTCCATGGTGATGAAACCCAGCCCCAACTCTTCATAGTCAAGGCCTGCAGGGGAGGGCAGTTGATAATAGGCAGCCTGACTGGGGGCACCAGGCTAGCAAGAGAGGGAAGTTAGGGATGACCAGGCCAGCAGCAGAGGGCAGTTGGGGGAAACCAGGCCTGCAGGAGAGGATAGTTGGAGGCAACCAGGCCCACAGGGGAGGGCAGTTCGAGGCACCAAGGGAAGGGCAGTTAGGGAAGAACAGGCTGGCAAGGGAGGGCAGTTAGGGATGACCAGGCCAGCAGGGGAGGGAAGTTGGGGGCAACCAGGCTGGCAGGGGAGGGCAGTTAGGGTTGACTTGGCTGGCAGGGGAAGACAATTAGGTGTGACCAGACTGGCAGGGGAGTGGTTAGGGCATTATCAGGCTGGCAAGCAGAAGTGGTTAGGGGCAATCAGGCAGGCAGGAAGGCAGGCAAGTGGTTGGGAGCCAGCAGTCCTGAATTGTGAGAGGGATGTCCCAGATTGGAGAGGGTGCAGGCTGGGCTGAGGGACACCCCCCATCATGCATGAATCTCGTGCACTGGGCCTCTAGTATATCATATAATATCATATCAATCAGGTGCTTGACACATGGTAGCTTCAAAGAAGGAGTGTCCTTCCTCATGGCAGTAGAAGTTGAGACACATATCTCAAGGCAGTGATGCTATCTTGCCCACAAAAGAAATGAGGACACATATCCGAGTGAGCAGGAAAGAGGAAACTCCATCACCCCTACCCCACCTCAAAGGCCTCCCTAACTCATTGAAGATCTCACCCTGGAACTGCAACCTTGGTTCTATGCCTTCACTAGGAGGGGCTGGTTTGCAAAAAAAGACTTGAAGCCTTAAAGTTCACTGATTTAGTTCAACGCCTGCTGGGACAGCCACACATTTGGACAGCTCATTTCTCTCATGCATCCAATTAGAGGTAGCGCTTGCTCACCTCCATTTGGCTAACGAGCCAGCCTGGGCTCTGGAGGAAAGAGCCTGTTTACAGTAAATTACTCAATTAGAACCGGGAGAAAGGGAGGTTTTTGCTGTTGTATAATGGGCCAATCCGAGTACAGCTCACGGCAAGGCAAAATTGTTTAATCTGCAGAAGCCATTATGGCTGTCAAAGGGGGCAGGATGGTAAACATTGGGGAAAACAGTTAAGCTCCAGCGGAAATGCTAGGTAGGAGGCAGGGGTGGAGGTAAGAGAGGAATGAGACTTGGGGATGCAATCAGGTCCCTTATTATATGACCCCTTACCCCTCTTTATTTCTCACCCCATAGAAGCCATCACAATTGTGTTTAAACATTTCTCTCTGAAACTAGCTTTACATCTTTCTTTACTGAGGGTCCCCAGGGGCATGGACTAGAGGTCTGTCCTGCTCACTACTGTATCCCCAGGCCCGCAGTGCCTTGTGCATAACGATCAAATCAATGAACATTTGCTGACTGACCAGGCAGCTTCTTGTTGAAGGAACTTCAGTTTCCTCACTAGCAATGGGATATGAAAGTACCTATCTCAGCATGTATTATGAGTACTCAGTGAGACAATTGTGGATCTTTCGTGACTATACATGTGCCTGGAAAGGGCATCCTAATATCCATCGAGACAAAGCCTCCTGTCCCTGCTGAGTTCTCATAGTCTGCACTGTCTGT